CTAACAGAACACCGGATATCAGGTGGTGGTCTGGAAGAATTCCTGGCATCAGGTGATGGTCCGGCAAAACTCTGGACCTCAGTTGGTGGTCCTTTGGAGCTCAAGGTGTCAGGTGGAGGTCCTGCAGACTCCAGGCATCAGGTGGTGGTTATGTGGAGCTCAAGACGTTAGGTGGCGGTCCTGCGGAACTCCGAGAGTTAGGTGGTGGTCCGATGGAGATCAGGGCATCAGATGGTGGTTCGGCAGAGCTCAAGGCATCATGTGGTGGTCCTGAGGAACTCCAGGTGTCAAGTAGTGGTCCGGCGGAACTTTGACTGTGGTTGAGGAGGTAAGAATGATATCCGATCTCTCTCTTTTCCCCTTAGGCTTAGGGGTCCCTTTTCAAGAGGACGAAGCTCAGATGCAAGAGATATATATATATATTAATCTTGGCTTAAACTATTGTCTCACTTGTAGAAGTTTGGTATGATAAATATTTTATTTGTAATTATTGAACTTTGTTTAACTATAAAAATGCCGTTTCAAAGAGTCGTCGGATGCTTTTATATTCAATAAATAATGGAAAACCTGATTTCCACTATTCATATTCTCATTAGAAGCTAAGACTGAATGAACCATTGCATCATTTACGTTAGCATTTAATCTACTTAATATTTTATCATGAATAATTGAAGGCTTTGTCAAAATGTCAACTCTCTACCCTTCTCATACATCTTTGTTTAAATAAAATAAATAAAATAAAAAATAAGCAAATAATGATATTAATAAATAAAAAAAGTGTATGTTAAGCTTTAAGTAAAAATTTAATTTGATTTTTTTCAATTTAGGGCATTAATTAGTCCATCTATCACATAACAAGTATTTGGGATGTCAAAAATTGACATGACCCAAAAACCCAACTTAAATCCGACTTGAATTTTTTGAGTTAAGGTCAACCCGTTCTAAGAACGGATCGGGTTCAGATCCTGATTTTCGACCTGATTCGAATTCCGGGTCGGGTTCGGATAAACCATATGTAAGGTTTGGTTCGGGTCGTGTCAAATGATAGCGGGTCAATGTCGGATTCGATTCGAACACGACTAGTAATCTGATTTTAACAAACCTAACAAGTACTCAAGATAAAAAGATAATTTTATCAATTTCGTAATGGAAGGATTGTCCATTAAAATAAAAATCATATTTTTAAGCTTTGATCTTATGAAGCAAAAAAAAAAATTATATTAAAAAATTACTTCATAAAGCATTAAGAAAACCACCCCAATTATAATCCTAAAATTGTGAATCATTGCAGCTTACACTATAGCAAAGGCAAGAACCAAATTTTCAAACTGAATCATTGTAGCTTACACTATCGCAACTGCAATAATCAAATATTCAAATTGTGAATCATTGCAGCTTTCACTATGTGGTTGTCGTTTATTTCTTTTTTTCTCTTCAAATTGCAGAATTTCTTATCCAATCACATCTACCACTACTTTTCATTTTTTTAAGGAAACTCTTGATACTTCTTAAAGCTGCATCTTGACTTTATGAGGATTATTAGAGTTTTTATATTTAAAAATGTTATCATATTAATATTATAATATATGTCTCATTCTTATTATAAAAATCTATAGTATTAGTTATTATAATATTCTTATTATTGTGAGAATTCTCCTTTATTTTATTCCCTCAGCATTATAAGTATGCTGGTATTAGCATCATAATTCTATTAAATAAAGTTATAATTTTTATGATTTCTAATGACAACCATATTTAATTGAAAGATCACTAAGAATATTATAATAATTAATATGAATCAAGAAAATTCACATGATCAACTTGAATCTCGAAGTAATATTTAAATTACAAAATCCACATGATCGACAAAAACCTCGACCACTGATAACCATCATCAGCAAACGCTACCACAATTACCAGACAATTGTTTACATTTAACCTTGTTGTTGTGTTTTAATCATCCGCATGTAGGTATTAGATTTCTATACTATAAAGAAATTTCGACAATTGTTCTCAATTCTACAGATTTCCATCTTCCTCAATTGTGAAGATAGGATGATTCTTATATCTCTTATTCTATAGTAGATTATTACAATTGAGTTGGGGCACATGGCTTTCCTCCTCGGATTTTTCGTGTAAAAAATTCATGATCTTACAACTCTTATTTGTGCATGTTGAATTTTTGTCCACAACTAAGACATGAAATACATACTCTACTAATCATACGTAATAGAATAAAGGCTTGTTTCACCATAATTCTCTTATTGATTTTTTTTTAATATTTTTCTTTGATTTCTTTAATGTCACACTTCAAAAATATTCCATACATCTTAGCGCTTCAAATTAATCCTAGCTCACACACATGCGAGCGTGGGTCATGCCGTACAAATGCCCTAGCACGGGAAATAATATTTATTTCTTCTCCATTTGCCTCATTGACTTTGCAAAACCTAATCATTTAAAAATAATAATAAGTATGACAAAAATAATTATAAGGCTCTGATCATTTTCATGTTCTCATATTTATTAACATCATCAATAATCAATATCATTACAATATTCTAACCTGATTTTTAATGTAGTACAAGTACATAATAGCATATTCCAATCCTATTTTAAAATGGCTTTATGAATCTTCATTTTTAATTGCATGATTTTAAATTTTTTAGAATTTTGGTGCTTTCAAATTGATTTCTATTTAAATAAATTTGAAACTCATAAATATTTTTACTTTGAATTATTTAAAGTGTTTAGGAATTTTGGAGTGAAAAATCATAGCTGCTCTAGCTACGGAAAAATTATATGTGGATGCAGTAGATGATGACTTTTTTATCTGGTTGAAAAAGTTAAAACTAAGGCCTAGAGTTGATTTTTTCTGGTGGAGATTGAAAATTGGTGCCATTCCTACCAAGTCCTTTTTATTCTACAGAAGATTAACGAATTCTGAGAATCGCCGAAGAGGATGTCCAGCTGTTGAAGACGGTTATCATGTGGCTATTAAATGTGAGAAATTGATTCAGGTTTTTTCTATACTGGCTAAGTGGGGTTATTTCTTCCCTGAGATTAGTTCTTTTGAGAATTGTTTGTTGTTTTTAAAACAGTGTTCTCGCCAGAATACTTTCTTAGGCAATTTGTATTGCTTTGCTATTTTTTTTTATGTTGGCAGAGCAGGAATAAGGCTAGTCATGGTGGATTGGATGATTGTGATTCTTATATTGTTGTGTCTGCAGTTAGCTTTGCTTCAGCATCTTTGTGTTTTGATCACATCAAGGAAAGATGGGATACTAATCAGTTTCTAAAGCTGTCTTAGAAATCTTGGTATCCCCCTCCTCCGAGATGGCTCAAAGTAAACTTGGATGAATCTTTAGCTAATTCAAATATGGCAGGAGTAGGTGGTTTTCTACGTGACAGCAAAGGGAGGTTTATAAGTGCTTTCGGGATCAGCTTGGCCCATTGGGATTGCTCTCATTTGGATATTCTTGCGGTTTCGTATCTGGGCAAGTTTATAAATAATTGGATGTATGATTGGAATGGCATTTTAATTGAGGGTGATAACTTGAATGTTATCAAATTTTTTTCAGAATTCAGTGAATAAGGTGGAAATTAAGGTGGGGAGCTTGAATCCGAAGAATTTCCTCAATCTTAAAGATTTCAACCAGGTTATTTTTTAGCATGTGCATAGAGAAGGTATTAAAGTTGCTGATTTTGTGCTAAGATAGCTATTTCTGGTAATTTTTTTTTGGATTCTCTCATTTGTAAGAATATTCCTCCTCCCTTTTTTTCGTTGTTAAAGGAGGAAATTAGTTGTTTGTAATGTGTTTTCAATAAATTGCTTTGGCATCTTCTCAAAAAAAAAAAAAAACTTAGTCTTTAAGAGAATGTTTGGGATCCTTTCTTATTTTAATTTTATAAAAATATATTTATATATATTTATTTATTTTTTTTAAAACCATGCTATACTTTTAAAACTCAAAATAATTTTTAAATATTTTTAGTTCTCATATTTCTAATAAATAAAAATTACCGTACACATCACCTGCCACCACTACCTGTCATCACGAACTTATGTAATATTCAATAAGATAATATATTTATTTAAAATATTAAATACATTTTTATTTATATTGAAAAATAAAAAAAACAACAAATATAAAGTCATCCAAACCAACCTAACAAAATATTACTGAAGTTCTTAATGATAAACAAAGTTCTACAATTCTATCATTATAACTCCATTAAAATTAATATATTGTAAATTGCACCGTACCTATCTCAAATATTTATAATAAAAATAATCAAAACCAAAAATATATATCAGAAAGATAGAAGCCCATCGTGATATAATATTAATTTCAAGATGGGCTTGAAAGTCATTAAATTTGCACAAATATATACTTTAATATTTCTTGTCTATCACTCATAGAACAAATATTAGTGCAAAGAATGAAATATTATAGTTTATACGATGATATGGATGGTAGTAATGAAATATAAGAGCGATATATTTGATATTAAAGTTTTTTATGAGTGATATGCATGAAATATTAAAATTTTAGATGTCAGATATGTAAATATCATAATATAAAATGTTATGTATGTAAATCCCTCATAAATCCGATATTTTTAAGTACGTTCTAATATAAATTTTAACTAAGGGACTACTTGGTTGGCTAAATGACTCTCGCTCAAAACTATGCTACTTTGGTTTACTTCAAAAATGTACTAAAATGACTTACACTACATTGACTTTACTTATGCTCCTCTTTGTATTTAGACCACTTTGTATTTCGACCAAATATCAAAAATTTTTTAAAACCCTTACATTTTTCACTTTGTACTCCAACCAAACAGCACCTAAATGAATCCTATTAAATCAAATCATTCTTTCCCATAAGAATTTATATTACTATATTTTATAGGAATCAGACAACCTCTTAAAATCTGTAGACTCTTGTTAAAAATGTTTATTGTTCCAACAACCACTTGAAAGGAAAAAATAAATAAATAGAATTTCCCAGTTTTGTTGCCTATAAATGCAGAGCACCAAAGAAGAGTCTAAAAAGCTGGAAAGACTTACGTTAATGGCTGGTACAGTGCATACAGAAGCTAACAAAGTTGAAGAAGCTGAACCTGATCTGAAAGGAAAGAAATTATCATGGGGAAAGCTTCGTCAATTCGATTCGTTTCATTTGGAGGCTGGAAGAATCCCAAATATTAATGATCATGCCATGAAGGTTTGAAAAATATCATTTTTTTTACCTGCAAAACATATAATCATATTTCATGATATCAAAAACTCATTCTCTGGAATTCAGATAATACGACTGATCTTCCTGTTTTTTTTTTTTTTTTTAGTTTTGCTATCGTAATCAGCAATTTGATTCCCTTATAATAGGATAAAACCACCATACTGTATTAATTGGCAATAAGGTGATCATATCTTATAAATATAAGCCTTCAGTAACTTTATCTCTGTAAGGTTTGTAGTTCTTAAACGGTTCATTTAATTAGTACGGTTAGATTATATTCAAGTGGAGCTTTTTCCATGTTGTTGAAAGCTTGCTTGATTTGGTTTGGATTGAAAAAAGTTTAAAAATTTACCAGACAACACCCTAAAAGAAGATTTGTAAATTCATTTGCGTGTTTGAGTGATTTTGGACTTCAATTACAGTCATCTTTAGAGCTTTATGGCTACAGTGTTCCATAACCTTTTTTTTTTTGCTCATATTTCACTCATTTAGTTTATGGAAATCACTTAATGCTGATAATCATATGAGAAAAAGGAAATTGATAGAAGCCTTTGGTTGTTAAAATAAACAAAGTTCAGTAAATTTTCTTTTCAGAATGGACAAAAAAAAGAGTAAATGATTTTTTAGGTGGTCATTTTAATCCTAAATAATTTTTCCAGGTATTCAATTAAGTTTACTAACACATCGAATTTGAACTAATTTAGTCCTGCTGTCAATTTCGTTGTTTCTTTGGAGTAAAATTAGGGATCGAAGCTTTCCATGCGAGCATTTTCAGACTTTAATGATCAATCTCATTGATTTAAGTTAATACTAAGAAGCCAGATTGATCCTAAAAAGTCCAAAATATCCTCATGAAAAGCTTCCCTTCATTTTTTTCATTCAAACAAACGTTAAAGTTAACAACACAGCCAAGTTGATTCAAATTGAAATTTCATGAATTAAACCTCTAAAAAATTTTGGCCATTAAAATTTAAGCTTAATAGTAAATAGTTTGAATGAGAAAATGAGGCTAAGAGTTTTCTCCTCTATATATGAACCTAACTAAACTTTATTTTCAGGTATTTGATATTAAACTGTGTCACATTGAAGCAAGGAAAAAATAAAGAATTCCAGGCCAATATATTACATATATTAAAATTTTAAATTAGTAAATTTAGCTTTAATGAACACTTCTAACCATCAAATAGCTGGTTTTTAAACAGGATGGCTGGACAAAAACACTTGCTTTGGCATTCCAGAGCGTAGGTGTGGTGTATGGAGACATAGGGACTTCACCTCTATATGTATATTCAAGCACCTTCACAGATGGTATTAAGAAAAAAGATGACATATTGGGTGTCTTATCCCTTATTCTTTACACCTTAATATTCATACCCTTGATCAAATACGTGTTCATAGTGCTGTGGGCAAATGATGATGGTGATGGTAAGTGTATTCCTTAATTCTCTATATTTTTTAAGTAAATTTTCCTGACATGTTTTAAGAAAGAAATGAGAAAGAATAACTATTTTCCTGACATAAAATAGAAATAGCAGTTTAGTTAATGCATAAGTTGAATGAAATTAATTTGTGTCCTCATATGTTTATTCCGGATAATATTCTATAGTTTTCTGAACTAAAACAAGCAAATGAGGTACCTGTTATTTCCTGCAGGAGGGACATTTGCACTATATTCTCTGATATCTCGTCATGTAAAGATCAGCTTGATACCAAATCAGCAGGCTGAAGATGCAATGCTTTCAAACTATAAATTAGAGACACCATCCAGGAAATTAAAAAGAGCTCAATGGATCAAGCATAAGCTCGAGAGCAGCAAAATGCTGCAAGTTGTCCTTTTTCTTTTCACAATCCTCGCAACTTCAATGATAATTGGTGATGGTGTCTTAACTCCAGCTATCTCTGGTAAGTTATAGCTTGCAAAAGTGGTGAGTAAAATATTTGCTTAAATGCTGATTGATCATCCGCGTACAAGTTTTTGCCAAGGAAATCAAACCTGCAAAACCTTAAACCTAATTAAAATCACCAAAAGCAAATAAATAGAAGGAAGATAAATACATAGAACATACAAAAACTAATATACATATTCGCCTAATTGTTGACTACATTCTGTCGTCGCCGCTACATATCTATGAATAAGATTGTACAGTTTTTACAGATATTACATAATGTCTCCCCAACTCAACAAACAATGCATCAAGGTTAGAAAAATGTCCTTTTAAGTAATTATAGTTCTACAATTTAATTACTAGCAAGACAGGATAAAACATTGAGAATTTTTATCTGAACAATCTAAAACATTCACTAAAATGACTTTTTTTTTATTTGATTTAAATAAGAATTTGACTCTTAATGGGACACCATGGAAAAAAAGATTTATGTAGATGATATCACATAGTGAGATAAAAATTTGTTGTTGTTGTTGTTGTTGTTGTTATAATCTAAAGCATACTCTTTAGAAGCAAAAAAAAAGTTAGAGCACAAAAGAAGCAATCTGTTTTGCTAGAAGAATGGGGTAGAACAAAAGTTTGCAAAGAAGTAATAGAGTGTTCTTTTTTTTTTTTTTTTTTTGCTTGATTTTTTTGATAGAATTCTTCACTCAGATCTTTTTATTACTTCACTATCTTCATCAGCTTTGATATTTCTTCATGTAGGCATATGGCGAATGACCGACTGTTTATTTTTTTTTAAATAAAATTGGTTTTTGTTCATTGAAGCATAAATGTGTCTTCCTAGCTGATGCTGATCAGTAGATTATAAAATATTAATATGATATTTACCTGCTATTCTCTGGGAAATGATATTTTCCTAAAATTTAGAGGTCCGCTTGTTTAAAACATATATTAGCTGTTGAGTCTAGTAATTAGGTTGTTAAGCCTAAGTGAATGTCCCAAGGCTACCAAGAGGAGGGTGAATTGGTAGTTTAAAAAAATTTAAGTCCCCTTTTAGAAAATTATTAAACCGAAATAAAATTTCTTTTAAATTTTGTAGAAAAATATTTTTCAACCACAGAGTTTTTAAAACTGAAATATAAAGTGCGGAAACGTAAAAACAGTAAAGTAAATGACACCAGATTTATAGTGGTTCGGTCTATAACCAGACCTACATCCACTCCCCAGAGGCACCCTCTGAGTATTGCACTAATACCAATAGTGACTCTCCTTTTGCACCCACAGCAAGGCGGAGAAGCCTTTACAACACACTCTTTTCACCACTCCACAGTGCGGCAGAGAACCGTCCGTCCTTTTACACAATTCCCAGTGTTGAAAGAGAACCGTCCGTCCTTTCACACCCTCCAAGTGTAGGCAGAGAACCTTCGTCCTTTCACACCCTCCAAGTGTGGGCAGAGAACCCTTCGCTCCATTCATTCCAATTCAATATTACATAGAGTGTAACTCTAGTTTACCCAACTTCTACCGAAATTTCATTTAGTATACCAATTTTCCTTCTTATTTTATCCACATCAATTTTATTTGTCCATTTTGCATTTTTTACCTTGATTGAACATGTCCAAGCTAACTAAATCTATTCTCTCTATTATCTCATTCTCAATAGATACTACTCTGCCATCATTTGTCAAACAATGCTAACAACATATATTAATAAACTTCTCAACAATACATTGAGGTATGTAGTTTGAACCAACGAAAATGAGTCAAGGAATAACATAATTTAATTGGACATACTAAAGCATACTGAAACTTAAAGGTTTGTTCATTTCCTCCTAACTTAACAGCAACACGCTTTGAAAGGTTTCAATTAAGAGATAGAAAACATCTAATATATTTTTGTTCATTTATTCATTTCGCAGTACTTTCAGCAGTGAGTGGGATAAAAGTGAAAGCCGCATCTTTGTTACAAGGTATGTTTCATGCATGACGTAGTAGCTGTGGGAGACATAAATTAAAAGACTGCAATAGCAACGCCAATATTCTAAATTAGATTCTAGTAAATTACATTTCAATGATAAATTTGCAATCCTTGTATCTTTTACAGGGCAAATTGCTCTGATCTCCATAGTTATCTTGGTGCTTCTGTTCTCAGTTCAACGTTTCGGCACAGATAAAGTTGGATACGCATTTGCTCCTATCATAGTACTGTGGTTTACTCTAATTGGAGGTATTGGGCTCTATAATTTAGTTAAATATGATGTTGGAGTTCTCCGAGCATTCAACCCAAAGTATATTGTTGATTATTTTAGAAGAAATGGTAAAAAGGCATGGACTTCTCTAGGGGGTATTGTGCTGTGCATTACAGGTGATTTTGCCAATCTGATCTTGTTTGCATGCATAAAAAGGTTTTTTCTTTAGGAACAGTGAATTAAACTTTGTAAATTGAAATAGGAACTGAAGCCATGTTTGCTGATCTCAGTCACTTCAGCGTTAGAGCAATTCAGGTACTAATGTCCGGCATTTGCTCAATCAAATCTTTTACAGAATAGTGTTTTTCTATTTAATTTTTTCTACTGAATATAATTTCAATTGGCATGCAATCAAGAAAGGAAGATAGAATTAAAAAATAAATAATAATCATGCAATGTTTTGGCTAGATTACATGCTCTCCTGTTTCTCCGTTAGTTGTAAAAAAAATTCAGAAAAATAATTTAATTACATAAAATTTATTAAATATAATATTTAAAGAGAAACTTGTGTAATGCCTAACTAGTGCGACTGGCAATGATTTTGATAAGCATGCAATAAATCAAGCAACATTCAAACATGTATTCATTCACAAGATCCATTACTACTAAAATGCTAAATCTTAAATGTTGATTCAAATATGCCAACTGTATCTAAGAGGTAAGCTAGTTAAACTAGCTAAAAAATTTACTCAAATTTCTTGATTACAAATCACTCTAGAACTCCATTTTGGCCTTGAAATTGATTGAGATTTTCCAATCTAGCACAAATATAGTTTGAGTGCACACAAAATAGGACTCGAAATAAGTATTTGTTTAAAATTTAAAATATATAATTTTTCTAGTATAAAATGAGCATAATATCTAGTATAAGATGCATATTAATACATAAATTTAATTAAAAAGTAACTTTTTGTTGACTCAAAATCAATTTTGAGCCAACTCAATCAAATTATTTCAAGCCAACTTGATGCAAAATGATTTTCATTTCTTGTCAATTGGAATTATTATTATGTTTTTTTTCAATTTTGGGTTGAGCTAAATATGCTCGAACTATACTCTACCTCAACCTACTAGAAAGATAATGATAAAAAGTCATTGTCTACATGAACAACTCACAATAAAAAAAAACAATAGTCCATAAGCAAAAAAGTAGGTCAAAGGAGATATAGTCACTTGTGATGCTTCCGAGAATGTATCAAGAACATATATTGATGAAAGATTAACACCTATGGTAGCAAGAATGTATCATAACCAAAAAAAGCATTTAGGTTTTCGTTATGATTGATTTGTTTCATGACTTCAGGCCTTCCATCTCACTTTATAATGAAACTTCATTATTAGTTAAAATTGGATTAACTTTATGCTCCTATAGTCTTCATGTCTAATGTATCCATCTTCACTGATTCTGTAATCAAGAGAGTGAAATGATAATCTTACATTACTATTAAAAACATTCATTATGAAACTCATTCTTCCTCTACCTCTCCAGGACACAAACATTTGTTTAAGCTAATGGCAATTATAAATTATAAACATCGAAATTTATAAACTTCAAGGCACAATATTAAACCATTTCAACTTTGTCCAACATTCAGGCAAAAGTCATTTATTGTTTGGCATTTTTCATAGTAGTTTGTATCATAGGTTTAACTTGTTGCTTCTTTATGATGCCACTTTGTTCTTCCGTTATCAAGACGGGTAAGACTTCATATCATCAATCTAATTTTTTTTACAAATTACAGATCAGCTTCAGTGCTGTTGTGTTTCCAGCAGTATCACTGGCCTATATTGGACAAGCTTCATACCTTACCAAATTTCCAGAAGAAGTCGATAATACTTTCTATAAATCAATTCCTGGTATGATGAATTCCAAACATTATTAATACAATTTATAAAACCAACCAGTATCAGAAAAATAAATTTTCTGAGCAAAATTTCCTTTCCACCTTACAGGCCCGCTATTCTGGCCAAGTTTTATAATTGCCATTGCTGCTGCAATCATTGCAAGCCAGGCTATGATATCTGGGGCATTTTCTATCATTCAACAATCTCAAGGTCTATCTTGCTTTCCAAGAGTAAGAGTTGTTCATACTTCTACAGAGTATGAGGGACAAGTGTACATTCCAGAGATAAACTATACACTGATGGTTGCCAGCGTATTAGTGACGGGAATTTTCAGAAGCACAACAAACATTGGAAATGCATATGGTAAGACAAAAATATTCATTTGCCGTTACTAGATAATTATGTTATATGTGCAGATACACAAAAACATGATACATATATAAGCACGCAACAAGAAATGAACAAAAACTTCAAATGCAGTCGTGAAAGAAAACTGAATGTATTAGACAAAAAAAATCATTCTTCACTTATGCTTGGCTCATTAACTTAACAAGCTGAACAAGAACTGTTCGCAAACATAAAATTTTCTTGAAATTTATATATAAATTATAATATATGCATGCCGTTATGTATATGGACATATATGATACAAATATAAATGTGTGAATATGAATAGACATAATATATATATATATATACAAATATGTATTTGTACACATCAACAAATGCATATGGACCCATATTTTGATTTATATATAAACATATTCAAGCTACCAAGTCGAACATGATCGAAAAAGATCTTATTTGTACTTGGATCACTAAGACTGAATTTGAGCTAATTATCAAGACGAATATGACTGAACCTGATCAACAAGTCATACATTAACACATTCTAATTTATCATGTCTAGAAGAGTATGTTCTGCAACCATTTTTTTCTTACGGTTGCTTTCATTCCAAAAAGCATAATTATAAAGAGAGCTTGGAAGAGGTTGATGATGACGATGATAAATAGTCATGACCTAAAAGTAATAACATATAAACAATTTCATATTCACTGCAGCAACATTGAGTAGTGCAAATACACACACATGCTAACTCATGACAAATATATAACGTTTTGGTTGAAAGCATTTGCAAGATTAATGTTACAATGTTCCATTCTGCAGGAATTGCAGTTGTTTCAGTCATGCTAATAACCACTGCGTTGGTGACACTAGTAATGCTTCTAATATGGAAAACAAGCATTTGGTGGATTTCATTATTTTTAATAGTAATAGGTGGCATAGAAGCCATATATCTCTCTGCAGTACTGTCGAAGTTTATAAAAGGGGGCTTCCTACCACTTGCACTTGCATTTTTCCTCATGCTGATAATGGGCATATGGCATTATGTACATGTCAAGCATTACAACTTTGAGCTGGAGAACAAAGTTTCAAGTAATTATATACAAGAGTTAGCTCTTGATAGGAACATAACAAGAATACCAGGAATTGGACTTCTGTACTCAGAACTAGTCCAAGGCATACCACCAATATTCCGTCTCTTTATGGAGAAAATACCCTCCATCCACTCAGTTTTCGTGTTTGTTTCAGTGAAACGTCTTCCAATAAGTAAAGTTGAACCACATGAACGTTTTCTTTTCAGACAACTTGAACCAAGGGAGTTCAGATTGTTCAAATGTGTGGTCCGTTATGGGTATAAAGATGCTATAGAGGCCGCTAAAGATTTTGAAAAGACACTCATTAGACAGCTTAAAGAATTCATCTATCATGAATTCTTGATTCAAGAGGGTGGTTCTCCATTGCAAAACGCTCCATTGGAAGATCCAGCAACTGAAGCAACAGAAAGCAATCAGAGGAGAGCAGGATCAAACACAATACATGCAGATGAAACACTAAAAGCACAAGGCTCGGCTGGTAATTCTTCAGGATCAATACTGCCTGCTAACAGTAACCGGTCAGCTAACTCTTCAGGCAGAAGGGTCGGTGCACTGATTCCAGCCATTGAGGAGGAGAAACAGTACATTCAGAAGGAAATGGAGAAGGGAGTGGTATATCTGCTAGGAGAAACAGAAATGGTAGCAAAGCCCAATTCTTCTATCATCAAGCGAGTGGTAGTAAACAATATCTATCACTTTATTAGGAGGAACTTCAGGCAGGGAGATGAGGCTATGTCAATTCCTAAGGCTAGGCTGCTTAAGGTTGGAGTAACATATGAGATATAGATGCTACATGATTACAGCGTATGGTTAATGACAAGAAATGGTGTCTATAGAAACTTCAGAAAATTAAGTAAACAAATATGTAATTTATATTTCCCCTCGAGATCAATCTTCGGTATTTGAATAATGTTCAAAAGGTAATTATTATTTATCTCCTCTCATATTTTGTTAAATAGAATCAAGCCCTCTTGGAGGTTGGATGTGTATCGCATTCATCCAATCATATTAATTTTTCCATCCACTTACTGTTAAAAAGGAAGGTATTTTGGTTTGTAATTTTAAAAAATAAAAATAAATTTCAAAATCCTTAAATCTTATGTCACTTTCAAAGACATAATTATTGTTTGATAGGACTTAAGTTGAATCAAATAATTATAATAATAACAATAGTAATCATAATAATTGACCTAGACCCCATTCACCTCTACACACGTGTCAAATGTAATCGAGTGCATCGGAGGCGGCATGTAGTGGACAAGTCACATGTAACGAAGGTCAAAGAACCTCGACCGCTATTGAAATTATTCAAAATTGTCCGATTGCAAAACGGATTGCATCAGTGTAATTTAGACACCGAATTTACCTCACTCGTATGCGACTCGGGCAAAGATCGATGATGAAAGCAACATTTGGTGGCCGCAACACCGCATAAAATTACCCAAAAGACTTCCAATTGTCAAACGGACTACGCCGATGTGATCAGAGCATCAAATTTACCTAAAGAGAGACCCCTCACAATTGAATTAAGTGAAGGCAATCGAAATCGACGGTCTTGTGGGCTCCGAAAATTCTACCCCAGCCTCCGCCCGATTATGATGCTTTTCCTTCTTCGGGGGAGTTTTAACGGAACAAGTTCCGGGGTAAATTTTGGGAAGGCAGATGGATTTGTAGATAAGATACAACCTAGAGATTTTGCCCTCATTTTGCGAGGACTTTATGATCTAAGTTCTGGTTTCCTATAGACGCAAGCCCCTATAGTTAATTACCCCTCTCGACTGCAAGAGAGAAATTTCGATTAAGGTTAGTCGTCAATCAGATACGTAGAATATACGTGTTATCTGGCATATAGTAGCAGCATGGGTTTGGATTTGAGAATTTGGAAAGTTTGATATTTAAAATTTAAAATTTCACCATCTTGCACTTAAAGCAAATGGTGAGGGAATAGATGATGGCCCCGATCAAAATTTTATGGTTCCATCGTCCCGGACCATCGTAGTCCCTGGTCTACTTAGTCAGAGGAGGTAGTCGACCCAACCTGACAGAAGAATCCTTGTCGGCAGTCATGGGTTGCTTCGTCCAAGGAAATCTTGTAGAACTTGGGTGAATATTTGTCTAAGTGGACTAATTTGAATCCACCTTAGCTAACAAAGGGCTTTGTGCCCTATCAATTATATCCTATTGATTCATATCTCAAGGATTTGATACAACTAAGAAGTGTATTGGCTCTGGCTATAACCGGTATTTTGTGGTGCAATTTTGCGGCAAAAGCACTCGGTTCAGAGAGCCCCGGGTCATAACCGTTTATCCTGCGGTGTCATTTGGCTGCAAAACCGCCGGTTAGAGGACACGTACCACGTCCTTACTGGCAAGAGATTTTTTTAGAATTGATCCTAGTGATATTTTTGACTAGGCATTAGCTCCATGTGAGCTGAAGTAAATTTCAATTTGTCCACCATAACAAACTGTTGCGGAGGGTGGATGGATTTTGCTTTAAGTGGTTGATGATTTAATTTTAAATTTTAAATATTTTAGATTTTGGGATGATTTTTGAATTTATGGTATTCTTTTGGATTTTGAATTTCTGGGTATTTAGGTAGCATTTGGAAGATATTTGAAAGTGTTTGTGAATCTCTCCGGTTGAGATTTTTGTTCAATGCGGCCATCATCGGGGTGTTTAGGGTCATTTTTATTTGATAATATTTGCATTTTATAGATAAACCTTATCGACTCTATCGAGTTACTGACAGATGATCGGGTTTCATAGGCTTCATGCCTTTGTTTGTGAATTTTCTTTATTGAAGGTCTTGAAGGCCTAATATGAATGTATTAAAATAAACATCCCGGTCGACCTCGTGACTATATATTTATTTAATGGTTCGAGCCGTATCGACTCCTATCTATCCGCATAGAAGGATAAGGCTCGAAATTGGACTCACCATTTGACCCGCGCAGCATCCCTGAGCGTCACGTGTGTACCAATAACACGTTCGCCAGGGCCCATGCTGGTGTTCAGGAATTTCATTGATTGGATATACCCCTTTTGTACCTATGTGTATACAAACTACGATACATGTATAGGGGTATTTCAAAATATTTGTAAACGTCTTATGTTCGCTTGCATGGATGTTACGGATCCGGTGGCGTATTGTAGCAGCTTGTGGATTAAATTATTTGTCGCTTTGTACAGGTAGACTGTCGTGCACTACTTGTCTCTTTCTATAGATGGATTATAGGGCACTAACTAATCTCCTGCTTTACATTTGTAGATACTCGTAGATGGTGTGTTAGGTGCATGACTATCTTTCATCAAGAAGCTTGCAAGCCTCAATAATCTTATCCAACTCAATGCCAAGAACTTGGTTGGATTGAGGTTCATTCATTTCATAATGATTTGATCTGGCTTTCTCATCCCAGAACTTGTATAGGAATTAGTAGGTGACACTTTGATTATTCCATCATCGTTATTAGCTTAAATAAAGAATCAATTATTTCAACCTTGGATGACTGCGTCCTTACTGTTTCCCTATACCTTGAAGTTGATAATTGCTTCAAAATGAATAAAGGTATCTGGGCGCACTTGTCATCTTCAGTGTTCGTGAATGTCAAACTGTTTTCTCCCCAAGTATAGGATTAAGGAAGAAACTTTGGAACACCAGGAAGTTTACTTCGAATTTGTTCAAACATCTCTTCTATTCTAACAGGAGGTGCCCTTCTCATGGGAGGATTCTGTCCGAGCAGGTACTTGTACTCCTTGGTTGAACAACGTCGGTAAAGGCGATACCATAGCACTATCAGTGTGCATGCTATATTGTGCCAAACTTCGAAGATCAATTATATTTCTAAGGACCATAGATATCGTAGTTGTTTTCTCTCAGAAAAAAGGCGAGGAAACTTTGTAACACTAGAAAGTTTAGTTTGAATTTGCTAAAATATATCTTCCATTCTTACAGAAGGTGACCTTCTCAGGGGAGGATTCTGTCCAAGAAATCAGCAGATACTTGTATTCCTTGGTTGAACAGTGTCAGTAGAGACGATACCGTAACACTATCAGTGTGCATGATATATTGTGTCGTAATGCCAAACTTCAAAGATCGTTTACATTTCTAAGGACTATAGATATCAGAGATGTTTTCTCTCAGACAAAAGGCAAGGAAGAAGCTTTGGAATATCAGGAAGTTTAGTTCAAATTTGTTCAAACATCACTTCCATTATGGAAGGAGGTGCCCTTCTCCGTACAATGAATTGTCTTCATACCCGACGTACTCGCAACATCTCAATCACCACTATTGTAGGCGTTATATGTACTTGTGTCCAAAATGGTTCATTGTACTTACAATATAGCCATTATCGTTATCCACAAGTGTATTGTATCATCCGTCCTTGCTCACAAGGAATGATTATATTCACTAAAATTTCTCGGACATACTTGTAGAAAAGCCTATTGTACTGACATCATATCCACCTTTTACCTATTGTACTAACATCATATCCACCTTTCACCAATCTCAGGTGGTCATTAATTGTACTTGTTTGTGAGGACGAGTCTTCCACTATCAATTGCCAGTGTTTCCATCTCAATCTACAGGCAAATTGTTGCTTGTTCCTCGAGTTCTTCATTATTACATATAGAAAACATTTATATTCTTTTCAGTGGATTGGTCTTATTTAGACTTGATTGAATATCACTATTCATATACATTGAAAGGATTATTGCATTTGTATCTTGGCCCTTATTAATGCAGGTGGGAGATACTCGTGCATTCTACAGTTAATTGTTATTACTTGCAAGCACAATTCTTTTGACCTCGTAGGAACTATTGTACAAGTCCACTACATCTGTCATTGTATAAACCAGCATCATTCATTGTGTTCTTATGTATTCAAGTATTGATGATTGGTCGTTGTTTGTGATTGTTCAGATGCTATGAATTGAGTATTACTCTTTATTTGTATACATCGAGGTTTTGTTCGTCATGAGTCCCCTGCTTGCTTACATGTATTTATTTGAATGTATTAAATTATTATTTGACATTTGAACTTTGATCTTGATTGTGCATTTTAGGATTTGGTATTCCATTTCTTGTAGTTCAGTTCAAGTCCAAGTCCCCTATTGTTTATACAAGTCTTCTGCATATTTAGTTTAAGTTCTATGCATTCATATCCAAGTACAGGTCCTCTATATTGTTGCCCAAGTGAGGTCTTCTTATTGTTCAAGCTTTGTGCACTTTAGTGAAAATTTTGGCAGCATCCCAGCATATCCTCCGTTTGGGGGAAATATAGGGGAGTTGGGCCTTCCCACCACGCTACTCGAGCGTGTATGGTAGGTGTCCATAGACACAGCGGCCGTACATCGTTTCATCCCACCACGCTATAAGAGCGTGTATGGGGCCTTCAACAGTACCCGTATAAGAACACCAGTGACTCTCCCCACCACGTTATAAGAGCGTGTATAGGGCTTACCCACCTCGCCGTATGCGTCGCACCGGGCTCCCTCCTACCGTACTACGAGAGCGTGTATAGGTGGTTCTCCGGTACGCCGCAAACGTCGAAAATGGGATTTAGAATATTATACCTTTTGTACCAATCATCGACGGTGCTGATGTCGAGGTCGAGGATTGTCCCCACCACGTTATAAGAGCGCGTATAGGGCTTACCCGCCTCGTCACACTTTTCGCGCCGGGTTCCCCCCCCCCCCCACATTATTTTTATAATAATTATTATTATTATTATTATTATTATTTTTATTAAAAATTTAATAATAATAATAATAATAAATTAAAACAGCCCTATTGCCTGTTTGACAACAGGGTTTGGCCGAAAAAGCACGTGAAAGGGAGAAGGCTGCCTTCACAGCCACGAGCTCCCATTTTATTTCCGATCAAAATGTTGTTACTCCCGATTCGACGAGAAGGGGACATCGTCCAGAGAGCAAAGTCGAACAACAATGAAAGTCTGGAGAAGCGCTCGAGAGGGAGAAGATTACCTTCACAGCGGCGAACTCCCGTCACTTCTTCCACTCAAAATGTCGCAACCTCCGATTCAATAGAAAGGGACGGAGTCGGATAGCAATGAAGAAGGTGAAGGAGCTTCGACTGCGAGCGAGGGAATGGAAGGAGATGTCAGTAGGGTCTTCTTCGCAATCCAACGAGCTCCAGTCACTACTTCCGACCCGACAGGTAGCAACGTCTTCGAAGGAGGGAAAGATCGCAAACGATTTCGCGAGTGGAAGGAAGTAGAGCCGAATGGAAGGGCGCGAGCTTCATTTCTTCGGTATTTAACGAAGAGCAACGACGTGCTAAGAGATTTCGTAAGACGTCCGGGCCGAGAGATCTGCACGATTTTGAGATGGCTTTGACATTCCACACGACGTGAGCGCCAGATAAGTACGATGCATTTTCTTTTTTGGGAAATTTACATACATATCACTATATACTTAGTATTTTACATATCTAACACCTCATTTTTAAATATTACAGTTATACCACTCAAATCCCTATTTCACCTCTATTCTACCACTCCGTCTACCGCGGTTCTTCACGACGCTTGTTCGCACGGTAACGACGACGTTTTCAATTTTTCGTTTTTAGGGCATCGTCGAGTCGGACGTCTTCACAATCCAAGGTAAAAATCACTTTGCAAAGTTTGTTCCGACTTTCTCTTCACGCCATGGAGGTCGGCATTGAGCTTCTGTGATGTGCTTGGTCGGCATGAGCTTCTGTGATGTGCTTGCATAAATTTTTATTTTTTGCAAGCCGACTTTGTTCTTCTTACTTTGTTCCGATTTTGCTGTGATCGTTTATGCAGTTATAATGAGTTCATGGATAAACTGAAGTGCAATGGAGTTCATGAAAATTTTTTTTTTTGTCAAGCCGACTTTCTCTTCACCGGCTTTCAGGTTCATGGAACTCTGATGAGCAATGGAGTTCATGGAAATTTTTTTTATTTTTTTGTCTAGCCGACTTTCTCTTCACTGGATTGATTTGGTTTTTTTTTTTTTTTTTTTTTGCAGTTATAATGAGTTCGTCAAATTCATCAGTTGTGAGAGCTAGGCAGCATCAATCCCTAGTATATTGCCATTGTCATCTCAAATGTGTTTTGTTTACCTGTCCCCAAGGACCAAATAGTGGAAGACAATTTTATAGGTGTATTTATAATCGAAGTGATGATGATTGTCATTACTTTAAATGGGTTGATGAAGAGGAAGAGCCATGCTATGTCACATGTTACGAATTTAATGCCTTCGACAGAAAGACTTCTAAGAAGCTTGACAGGATTCTTCTGATGATTAAAGTTTTTGTTGCGGTTGTTCTTATCGACGTTACCATTCGACTTTATTTTGGCTAGAATTATGTTGTATTCAAGTTGAATGTATGAATGGTTTTAGAGGATGGTAGGTGTTGCATTAGTACTTTATTATATATTTGTCGAAGGTTAATAGTTCAGGCGTTGCTATGACTTGAGCTAGCCTTTTGTATTAGTATTTTGTATCTTCAAAGTTTTTTGTGGGATTGAAAAAAGTATAAGTTTTTTGTTGGAATGAAGTATTTATGTGTCTTATGTACTTATAGTTCTTATACTTTTGTTTCTTCAGGTTGTACTTATAGTTATTGTTGTTATCTTATAAGTTTTTGATGTAATTCACTTAAACAGCAAATCTGGGAAATCTGTGAACCGAGTACTGCACCGAAATCACTGAAATCCTAATTCTGGAACCAAATTCTTGAATCAAATTCTGTGAAACCCGAATTCTGTGAAAGAAATCTGTGAACCTAGTACTGCACAATCTGTTTATACATAAACTGAAGCAATCTGTTATTACATAAACTGCATTTATGCATAATCTGTTTATACATAAACTGCATTTATGCAATTTGTTTATACATAAACTGCATTTATACATAAACTGATGCAATCTGTTTATACATAAACCCGAATTCTGTGAAACCCGAATTCTGTGAGCCGAATCTTTTTGAAACCGAAATCTGTGCAACGAATTCTGCATAAACTGAAGCTTTTCAGGAACCGAAAACTTTGAAACCCAAGCTTTTTCTTATAAACAAATTCACTGGAATTAATCGAATTCACTGGAATAAACCGAATTCACCGAATAGAAACGAATTCACTGGAATAGAAACGAATTCTGTGAGCTTTTTCTGGATAAACCGAATTCACTGGAATAGAAATCTTATGAAACTGAATCAAAGCTCATTTTGAAGATCATAAAACTTTAATGCAAAAACAAAAAGGTTTACACAGAAATTTAAAGCAAAGCCTCTATTTCATTTTGATGACCCCAAACATCTTTTCCCAAAAGAAGTCAAACCATGTTAATCACAAAAAACTAACTCATAACATATTTTCCCAAAAAGAGTCAAACCCCAAAAAAGTAATCCAAAATAATACTGAACATTTACTTAAAAACCTTCAATATTTGAGTACTCGTACTCATCTCCCAACTCCTCCACAGCCCTTATACTTTGCAACTTTGGACGCTTTGGTTATCTTACTTGTGTGATAATTGTGTCATTCACCTCCATATTATTATGTAATGGGTTCTTACATGTAGAGCGATGATGACCCCAAAGATTACACCTACTGCATTTATGCACTTTCTTGTCCTTTTCCAGAAAATTAGGCAATCTTCTTCTTTTGGGTCTTCCTCTAGGCCTTGATGTATTTGGCACTCCAATCTCAACAGCATCGTGAATCACTTGCCATTGGTCCTTCCCAGGTAACATGCCAATGGCTCCATCGTATGCCATCCTGTATCTAAATATCTTGGAATTAGTGTAGCTAGTGTGAAATGGAAATTGAAATAATTAAAGGTTGACGTTGAGAAGTACCGGTGCACGTAGAAGTATTCATGATTGTATGTATGCCATAGTGGATGCTCCTTCATCCCTATGAAAGCAATGGCATGAATAATCTTCAGCATTAAATTTTGTAGTAGATTGGCGAACTATTAAATGTTCTTTTCTTGTAGTGATGTCTCTTATATAATCTTCAGCATAAGGAACTATTTCACATTACCAACTCCAACTTGTCATTTTACGTGTAGCCCTTTGTTCCATGAGTTTACCACGAATCATGTCAATTAAGTCAACAACAGGTTTATTTCTTGCCTCCATTATCCAAGCATTGAATGATTCAGCAAAGTTATTGGTATTTGTACCGTGGTATATCCCATACATAAACTGACTTCGTGACCACTTGTAAGGTAATGAGATAAGGTACGCATAGACGGTGGGGTATGATACACTTAATTCAACGAGCTTGTCATTGTACTCTGTCGTTGTGTATGCATTAGATGCTCCCCAAACCAAACCTTGCAGTTTATGCCCATCTTTACAATGAATTTTTTTTTTAATATTCTTCCATAAATGACGAATACAAATTCTATGCTCAGCTGCAGGGTACACATCTTTAATAGCCTCGCCCAAGCCCTTCTCCATATCTGAAATGAATGCAAGAGGTACTATGTGTGTACCAATGCTTTCTCCCAAGTTTTGAAGGAACAAAAACCATGTCTGCTTAGATTCAGTTTCAACAACAGCAAAGGCTAAAGGAAATAAACCGTTATTACCATCAAGTGAGGTTGCTGATAAAAGCATGCCTAAGTGCTTGGATTTGAGGTGGCATGCATCCAAACTAATTAGCGGCCTGCAACCATACATGAATTCATCTGTGCACACCTTAAAACTTACATAAAATCTCTGAAATGAATTGTCATGTTGGTCAAACATATATGTGATATGTGAACCAGGATTTCTACCAATCAATTCAACATGTAGTGAAGGCACCCATTTATAATTATCATCAACAGAGCCAAATATACTTTCACGAGCTTGCTCCCTAGACCTCCACAACTTCATGTAAGGTAATGAAAGACCATACTCTTTCTCTAAATTGCTATTGATATCTTTTGGAGGAACGTCAGGATTCCTTTTGACCATCTCTTGAATCTCTTTCGCAACCCATGCAGATGTGGCTAGTCTATTCCCAGCACGGTTGATGCCTGGACATGTGTGAACACCATCAACTCTTCTAACTTCAAAAGTTTGAGCATCTTCACATAGGGAAGCTCTAATTCTCCATTGGCAACTTTGATAAGAACATGTAGCAATAACACGTTTCTTATCACTAGCCTTAATCCTAACACCAAAGTTCTCTTTGATGGCAACTGATCGCAAAGTATGCTTGAAAGATATTACATCCGAAAAATATGTGCCAACAGCTATATCTTTATAACATAAACCTGGAACACTTGAAATACAATCATTATAGTCAAAAGAACTTTCAACCATCTCAGAATTTATGAACTCCCTTAGATTGGACATAGATTCATGTACTGTAATAACTATCTCAGCACGCAAATTATTATTAGATACTTTTATGAACTCAGATGACTCAACATCAGAATTTAGATCATTGTATTCTTTAGGTGATGTTCCATATATGTAATAATGCATATTATATGGATGTCCCTTCAGCCAAGGACATATTCGGGCAATCTCGGCTCTAACTGCAAAAATCGTGAGTTGTCCTTTCTCAATTTTTACAGTCCTTTGTTTGCCACCATCGTACCTCTTTCTATGTTGGTCATTAGTTTGAACTCATATTCCACCATACTTAAATACAACAGAAATATACTCTTTCTTCTCTCCGTATATACTATTTCCAACAGTGTCCTGCATTATCAATGATGAAAAAGTTATTTACATTTTTTTAATGTGTTTCAAATCAATCAATTAATACTCACGAAGTAAGTCGTCTGGGAACACATCATGAATAACTGCTTCCACAATGATAAACTTTTGTTACTGCAACTGTGAAATACAAAATACATAATAAGCACAAATTAGCACACATTTCTGTAAAATTAAAAATAGGCACAAGCTTCTTTTGTCGAAAAAAACAGGACGGCTTAATATAGACACGGACTTCTTTTGCATAAATAGGCACAAGCTTTTTTACTTTTACTGTGAAATAGCCTTATTTTACTGTGAAATAAGCACAAACTTCTTTTGCTGAAAAAAAGGACGGCTTACTGCGAAGCTTAATAACCGGTATAGAAATGAAATAACCACACTAATCCTACTGCTAAACGAGGAACGCCGGTCCTCGTCAGAAGAGAAATGTTCGGAGAAATGTTCACATTTCTTTACGCCGGATAAAAAATGAGAACGCCGGATAGAAATATTTGCCTGTCGAGAAGCTTCTTTTCGGCAAAAACGGAGGAGAAATGTTCAGAGTAAAACTAATTGAAGAGAAATGTTCGGAGAAAAAAATTGAAGAGAAATGTTCGCCTGTCGCTTACATTAGTTCATCGGAAGAGAAATGTTCGGAGAAAAAAATTGAATGCCGGAGCAAATGAAACGCTGGAGAGAAATAAGCTTAAAGCGATAAAAAATGAGATCGCCGGAGAGAAATATTGGCCTGTCGACAAGCTTCTTTTTGGCAAAAACGGAGGGAAATGTTTGTGAGAAGTAGAACCTGCAGTTCGCCGGGATTGGGAAGAAGTTCGGACAAGCCTGGCGCGAAGAGCTCAATTCGGCGGGAAGTAGACGTCCTAATGTAAGCCGTAGACGGCGCAGTAGACGGAGTGGTACAATTGAGGTAAAGTATGGATTTGAGTGGTATAAGTGTATTATTTAAAAATGAGGTGTTAGATATGTAAAATACTAAGTATATAGTGGTATGCATGTAAATTTTCCTTTCTTTTTTTTTTTGTTGCGTTGGGAGCTAGTATATAGGTCAGTAGGTCTAAAGATGTGACGATGTGCGACAGACTTTCTCGTTGTGCCCAGAATGTCAAAAATAATTACTATCGTCAGGATTATTAGATAAGCGAAAATAGCAAAATCAACATGAGTTTGAATTCATAACGTTGCCCAAATGTCATCCGTCGCAAAACAGATCCCTAGAGTTGACAACAATATTGTTACGATTATTGGACAAGCTAAAAGAGCAAATCGGCACAAGTTTCAATATGCGACATTGCCCAAACAACATCCGTTTGCAAAACAGACTTCTTCATTGTGTCCAAAAAATCAAAATTATATTAGAAAGACTATTATATTGCTTGGGACTCCGACTAAGGATTTTAGAATAGATCGTCCCGGCCGATCTTGCGATTGTTCAGGATGATATGATCGTATTAACCATCCTTAATTACCTCCTTGATTGTCTAATCAATTAAGGCATAATTGTGAATATCATCCAGGACGATCCTAGATCGTCCTAGCCGATTATCAAAAGTACAGAATACCTTAATTGTTTATGGCGGCAATTTCTTTCTGTTTTGAGCCTATCGTTCTGGCCGATACAAGTATCGTCCAGGCCGATTTGCTAATGACGGCTGCCTTAATTAAGAACCCCTGATTAGATTTTTTGTTTTAAGCCATATAGTCTAGGACGATGTAAATTCCGTCCAGGCCGATATGAGTAAAAACATGAATTCTAAGTCTCTCAAGTGTGTGTGTAGGGTTACTTTGCATCAGTCGCACCAAAGATTACAATTGACTCAAGAAGAGAAAAAAATAAAATTACAGACTGACTCAACCCTAATCTACCCATTCTTGACCTGGCTCCATTTTTTCCGTCCGATCTTTGATTCCTGAAAAGTCAGTAATAAAAGACAGTCCAAGACAAGTAAGAGTGTTTGCCAATCATCAAAACATAGTTCATAGACCTGAATTTGCAACACTTTAGACTTGTGCTTTGAACTATTCATCCAGACGAATTTACCCTTTCATCCAAGGATGATGTCCTTTGGACCTTCGAATATAACGCGGAGAGACTGGGGCCCTAAAGCTCAAATTTTCGGAGCCCACAGACACTAGGTATACCCTTTGGCCGTACAAATTTCTTTAGTGCATTTTTTATGTTATGTAAATTGGCTTCTAAAATAAAAATCTTTAATCTTAATCCATACTAAAAATAAATGAATATGCATCCAAAATAGAGAGAAAATGTATATGATCATGTGCCAGCTCATCTTCATATGAGAAAGATAAAATGAATTTGCATCTAATTTAAAATTTTTTATAAGAAATAATGAAAAATTAGGAGAAAGAAAGATAACTTCGAATTTTTCTCTGTAAATTGGATTTAAATAATATTTTGTTATTATATTCCTTTCTCCTAAATGTTATTAAAATCGCACTTCAAAACATGCTTTCGAAATTAAGTGAAGCATTGCGTCATCCCTGTGAAGCGCAAGCTCACAATAAAGCATTTATGTTGTGTTGCTTCATCATGTTGTGTCATAGTATTGCATGTTTGGCTCTAGAAAAAAAAAATGAAATATTTGCTTGGATTTCATGGTTGGCTCAACATCTATATCGATAATTAGGCACAAATATTCGCTCATCCTTACTGTTTCTCATACCCCTTAAGTCATTGTTAATTGGTATTCTCTCCCACTGAAATTAGTTACACTACCAAAAAATAGGGTTTTCGCAGCATAAAATTTCACTTTTCCCGGCGGTTATAACCGCTACAATTTATTTTGCAGCGGTCCGAGAACCGCTGCATAACCGCTGTTTTTGCCATCCGCTGCAACGGCCTTCCGCAGCGGTTTAAAGACCGGCGGGGTAGCGTTTATTTCTAGCATTTTTTTGCAGCGGTCTTAACCGCTGCAAATATACAGAATTGTGGCGGTTTTAACCGCGATAAAAGCTAGCGAAATCGACCTGATATCCGATTTGTGGCGGTTATCTGGGATCTAGTGGCGGTTATAACCGCCACTAATGTCCAGAATTTTTTTTTTTAAATTCTGAAACCTTGCCGTTCACCCTACAGTACTACACCTGCAATAAATAACAAATAAACCACACCCTACACCTGCAGCAAACAACAAATAGACCACAAATCATGACATAGGGATTCTTTCATCGATCCAAATAGAAATTCATATACATAATCTAAGTCACAAATCAATTACATATCTAAATACAAATATACATATTCGCGCACGATGATCTACAAAACTTGATGTTTTATATGTAGTTTCTTTATCATATAGATAAAGAAACTACAATTAAAACATCAAGTTAGCATTTTAGATTGATAGTGCAAATTTTAATCAAAATACAAAAAAAAGGTAAACAGAATACTAATTATAATAACTACTTACCTCTTGAATTTCTCTTGAGCTATCTTGATGCTTGAATGTAGCTAGATGCAGTGAAATCTATTTTAATATAATATTTTCCTTACTATGTAGCTAAAAGATTTCTATTTGGAGCTTTTCTTATACATTGTTGTACAAGTAATTAAACAATTAGAAATCACAAAATGCCAAGTCAAACTCAAGAAAGATTAGTAGGGAACACTATTTCTTATATAACAAGGAAATGAGCACAAAATAACAATCTTACATTTCAAAATCAAAACAACAAAAGTTTGAAATTACATAAAATATCCACATCACCAAAAGCATCACATCTAATGCTAGTGCTCATCAGCAGACTGTCAGGCATCAGATAAATTGTCATTTCCACCCTGAAAATAATATAAAGAGAATGAATGAGATAATAATAATCAAGCAATTTACATTTAACTTAAAAAAAATTATACCATTTCTGATCCTCCATGGGGTGGATGATTCCTTTGAATTTCTTGCACAAACTGTCTCATCTCATCACGAAATGAGCCAAATTCTCTCGCCTGATTATCACGAAATGATATGAACTCCTCTCTAAGACTAGCTATCTGTCCAAAACTGCTGCCGCTACCACTACCTTCTTCATTTTTGCTTTGAGGAAAGAATCTAGTCGGCGTAACACCAAATCCCTGGGTACGAACTCTACCTGAATGTTCTGGTCCCATAACTATAGCAAAAACTCTCTCATTAGCTTCAATATTTCCTTCTTCAGGTGTAAGCCCTTCTTGGGCAAGAAGATTGCATGC